CCCCCCCCCAGCGCCTCTGCCCCAGGCGTCCTGATTCAGCCGCTGCTGGTCGCGCCGGGGCTGCCCCGCTGCGGGCGTCCTCCGCGGCTTTGCTCCGCGTCTCCCTGGTCTAACCAGCAGACCAGGGAAACAGGGAGCAGCTTTTCTTGCCCCGGAGGATGCGGGCGGCGGGACCGTGGCGCATCTGGGCATCCCACCGCTCCCGTCCTCCGGGGCAAGAAAAACCCAGTTCGTAACTGCGGTTCTGACATAAGTCGGATCCGCATAACTCGGGGACTGCCTGTAGTCTATCTTTCTTTAGAAATTGTTAGTAAACATGTATTGCTTAATATTATTTTACGACTAGATTTACCCAGCATTCTATTGTTTCAGTGGAAAACTATTGAATTCTAGGCACATCCCATTTTCCTGGCACAATAAACCTTTGACCTTGAGATAAGTTAGGATAAGAGGAAGCTGCATACCAAATTTGGTGATCGTAGCTGCTACCATTTAGGAAAATCTGTGCTCTGGGACTCTGTAGTCCAGTAGACAAGTTTGCCAGTGTCTGGGAGCAGAGTGGGGCAGCGGAGCCTGCAACCGGTCAGGCTGGAAAGTTGGTGGGGCTGCTGGAGTCCTCAGGGCTGGAGACTGCTGAGTCACAGCCAGCGGGACCAGGAAGCTGCAGAGTCCACAGCTGATGGGGCCACAAACGCCTACACGGCTGCCAACAGAGTTTCTGGGGCCGGCAGAGCTCGCCGGGCCACAGAGTTTACAGGGCTGCCACAGCCAGGGGGCTAAGAGCAGTGGTACCAGGAAGCTGGGAAGAGGAGCCCAGCAGAGAGGCTGGCGCTCCCCTCCCCACGCCCAGCCTTGGCTGGTCCAGAAAACTCCTCTGTCTGGAACTGGTCAGGTTCTGAGAGAGCCGCACCAGGGAGGTCCAACTTGTAGTAAGTTTAGGCCTTAACCTAGGTGTACGGTTTTAAATAGGTTTTTTTTTAAACCTGCATTTAATTTATATTTTAAAACTGTTTATTATTTTTTAAATGACTTTTATTCACCTTGATAGGAAAATGATGTATTTTTTAATCTATTAGCAAAAAATTCCTTATACATTTTGAATAATCGTCTTTTGTGTAACTCTTAATCTAATTGGTTTATTATATAAATAATGATCTTTTGTCCATCAGACAATTGAATTTCTAAGTAAACATTAAGTATGTTTTTTTCTCATCAATGTAGGTTGAAGAAGCTCTAAAGTCCCATGGCATTGGTAAGTGCTAAAGTCTAACTTTTTGCTTTGGGTAGATGTGCTTTATTAACATCTGTACAAAACTATGAATGGCCTTTTTAATAATTTTAATTTTAGGTCACGTCCTGTAGAAGTCAGTAGTCTTGCAAAAATCAGTTTAACTAACTGCTTTAGTATGGAGTGGGGGTATAGATTTGGCTGTAGAATTGTAATTAATAAGATTTTGGGATGACTTTGAGACTTGGTTTGCACTAGAGAAATAGATAGAAGAGGTTTGAATTCATTACTTGTGGAGGGTTAACTTTTAAACCAAATGATAGCTATTCTACTGCTGATTATTTTAACAGAAATAACAGTGTTGTATTTCATAGAGTTCAGAGGTGGAAAGGACCTAAGTCATTTTACATATCCTTAACCCTAAAGTTGTACACTTTGATACAGGGTACAGGCAGTCCCCGGGTTACGTACAAGATAGGGACTGTAGGTTTGTTCTTAAGTTGAATCTGTATGTAAGTCAGAACTGGCGTCCAGATTCAGCCGCGGTTGAAACTGATCAGTTTCAGCAGAGGCTGACGCCAGTTCCGACTTACATACAGATTCAACTTAAGAACAAACCTACAGTCCCTATCTTGTACGTAACCCGGGGACTGCCTGTACCCTGTATCAAAGTGTACAACTTTAGGGTTAAGGATATGTAAAATGACTTAGGTCCTTTCCACCTCTGAACTCTATGAAATACAACACTGTTATTTCTGTTAAAATAATCAGCAGTAGAATAGCTATCATTTGGTTTAAAAGTTAACCCTCCACAAGTAATCTCGCCCCGGAGGACGTGGGCGGCGGGACCGCGGCACATCTGGGCGTCCCACCGCTCCCGTCCTCCGGGGCGAGAAAAGCCCCGTTCGTAACTGCGGATCCGACATAAGTCGGATCCGCGTAACTCGGGGACTGCCTGTATTTTCCAGTGCATTTTTCTGGGCTCAATTTAAATGTCCAATTTAATTTTTTATATACTGGGCTTTTGTTGCATTGTTTGAAGAAAGTTCCACAGCACAAAGCCCTCACCACTGGACATTTTTTCTTTTCTTTTAATTCTTTTTTCTTTTATCCTGTTATTCCATGTTAGCCGAGAACTTATTTCAGATGCAAGCATCACAAAGCTTGTTGGTTTACCATATTTCACAGAACTTATTCACTGAACACCTCAGGGAGGAGTTGCGGCAATTCTCTTCCCAACTGGGGGGTTGGTTGTCTCTGAGAATTTATTTCTGAATAAGCTAACACTCCCCTGCTTCTCTCCATTCAATCTGCTCCTTTTTCTGACTGAAAAGATCCATGAATAAATGATACATTGTATATTCTAAATCTATACCATTTTCGTCTTTCATGTAGGCAAAATAAATAAGTCGTCTTAAATATTGCATTTTTAATAGAAAAAACTTCTGCAATGTATGATTATATTGAAGGAGGGGCCTAGTACATTGCTTTGCTTCTTTTTGCAGAGGGAGTGAAGTCAGCAGGGTTTCTTCTTTGTCCTGGAATCTTGCCTGTTTTTTCAGGGCTTGTCTATATAACCTATTCTAATCAATTCCCATGGTTTGTTAAGCAGTCCCTTGTGAATGCAAGGGTAACCTGGAGCACTGTGGTCTACCCTTATGCCATAAGAGAGCTCTTTTCTATTAAATTAACTAGCAGATGTACCTGGCGTTGCTTGGGTCTTTTAACAAGTATTTTTTGGAGGGAGAGGGGATGTTTGAAAGTAAATGAGAAATGTACATGATTTATTTTAATTATTCTTATCTTTTAAAAATAAAAGAAAATGAAGGCTGAGTGAGGGTTCTGGAGTAAGGAAAGGCAGAGGATGTGTGGTTTAGCACAGAGGGTAGGGAGGTTTGTGGTGGCTCAAGAAAGGGGGTAGAGCCTCCGGGCAGGGCCTCAGGGCAGGGAGGAGGTGGGGGTGCAGAAGTCAAGGTAGGCGGGAGGTACAGAACTTAGGGCGGGGGGCTCAGGACAGGAGGCTGGGAGGTGGGGAGGACTTACTGGGGCCACCTGTGGGAGTGAGGGTGGCACAGTCCACCAAAGGCTCCTCACAGGGGACCATAGCAGTCCTCCCTTGCCAGCAGCTCCTCCTGAGGGACCAGGGCTGCACTCCCTGGAGGGCGGCTCCTTCCCAAAGTGGGGGATCCAGTTCTCAGCACTTGTCAGGTGAGGGTTGGGGCTCTGTGGTCTAGACCCAGCCTCCAGCTGGCCCCGGCCTGCAGCCTGTCTGTGGGGGCAGCTCCTAGCCTGCTCCTGCCCCAGTGGCCTACAGCTGCTCTAGGGGGGCGTTACTTGGGACAGTTACCACCCCATCCTGCAGCCTGTTGGTGGAGGGGGCATGCTGCAGGCTTGTCCTAGCCTTCATCTTCCCCGCTGCCCACCCTCCAGTGGCCTGCAGGCTGTTGAGGTGGAGGCAAGGCTCTGGAGGCTGCTCCCACTCGTACAGGCTGTTGGCAGGGACAGGTTCCAGAGGCTGCCTCCAGCAACCCCTCTCCCCTGCAGCCTGCAGACTATCTGGGAGTGGAGTGGGGTGGGGTGGGGTGGGACGGGATGAGATGAGGCTTGGGGGACTGCTCCTGGCCTCTAGCACTCTTCCCCTGTGCACCCTACAGGCTGTCTGGGGTGGGGTAACACTGTGGGGGGCTGCCCCCAGTCACCAGTGGGTTGTCCCCCTCCCCGTCCATGTCCTACAGGATGTCTGGGGTGGGTCCAGGTTCTGGGGGCTACTCCCTCTTCCAGCTCCCCCTCCCCCCTGGCCTGCAGAGTGTTGGGGGGGGGCGTAGCCCCGCTCCTGCAGCCTGCAAGCTTTTCTCGGGACGTGCGGCTCTGAGGGCTCCCCCTCCCAGCCTGGAGGCTCTCCACAGCAGGGCAGGCTCCAAGTTTGGGCCAGGTGGGCTCCTTACCCAGTATGGAGGCAGACAAAATGGCAAAGCCTCCAGCCCCCCTGACCATTCTTTTTATGCTGTAGCTGACCCCAGTTTCCACTCTTGGTATCACATTCCTCCTTTATGTGCCCCTCCCTTTCATGTCCCTTCATTCTCTGCCTCCTCCCTTTCCATGTTTTCGAAAATAGTCCCATACCCAGCACTTCCCATTTTCCAGGCAGAACCAAACCCTGACTTTGGTGCCAAATTTGGTGGTCCTAGTTCTTGCAGTTCAGGAGGAATTCCTCAGCGAACAGGCTTACAGGGGCACAGACAGATGGACTCATAGACACTCTAAAATATAGATAGATGAGCTCTTTCTAGATCCCCTCGCTGTATCATTTAATGTCTTCAAGTAGGTATGAAGTTCTGAACTTAAAGCTTAATGTAGCAGAATCTCAATCCAGGCTGGGTTGTGTATGAGATTTTCATTATTCAAGGGGTCTGCTATAATTTTAATATTTTGGTATGAGTTTAATTTATTGTAAAATTGGTGACTTGATAGCTGTTGTAATTTCTTGATCTCTTCATTAAATTGTCCAGCATTAAGTTGGTTTATTGCAGTTCTTTGGGACTAATGTTTGTGTGTCATCTGTTGCAAGCAAAATCTAACTCTTGATACACAAAGATTGATACACAAAGATTAAAGTAATATAATTTGTTGCTTTACACAACAACAAGAAGCTCACATTGCTTCCTTTAAACATGGTGCATGTCCAGTCTTTCTGACTGGGGTCTTCTCAAGTTTACATTCTAATCTCTGTTCATACATTTTTACCCTGCTCCCCCTCCCCTTTTTTTTTAAGTTAAAACTGTGAGTGGGGTAGAGGATCAAGCAAAAGCACCTAAAAAACTTCCTGATTATGGTAAGTTAATTTTCTTATTAGCTATAGTGCACAAACCACTGCGCCCTGATGTAATAGATTTAATGTCCTCTAAGAGTCAATGATGCTGGAAGTTAACAGATGTTTGGGGAATTTGCTTTCATGCTGTTTTCCCCCTTTAATACTTTACAGTATCTTCCTTGCAAGAGAAGAGAGTGTGAGTGGGTGGGAGTTCAGGGATAACACTTCAAAACATCAAATGGCTTATTGTTGTGCCTCCTAAAGAGCATTGCAGAGCAGGGATTGGGTTTGGATTTGTCAGTAAACTTAAATCCATCAATGGAGTAGAGAACACCACTTCATTTCCTAAATTTTGCCCAACTCTTGGGAGTATTAAAGTATATAACAGTACACAATGTGTGGTTATTATTGCTTTGGTGTAGGAAACTAATCACATTTTAATAAAGTTATTTTGTTTCATAGTTCAGACTGAAGCAGAGAAATGTCATGGACAAACCTTGGAAGAGCAGCTTAATACATGTAAAGAAACAGAACCTGCACTTGGTGAGCATTTTTTTAAATGCTGTAATTATATACCAGCAATGTTTACGTTTCTAGAGTGATTGAGTGAATTTATACATTCGTAAGTATGAAATTAAGTAAACCGTATGCAATTTTACATTAGGTGTCTTGCTGGTACAGTATGTAAGTGAATCTTACTGATGAGTCCTTGGAATTCTCTTTGCATATTTATTCTTGATTAGGTTGGCCATGTGTCTGATGAGAGTGCAGGTTACAAATAAAGTAAGGGTATATGATAGAAGCTACTCTTTGACTAAATGATTCTATGGTTATTATTAGACTAGTTGATGAGTTTTAATAGAAAAGTGCATTTTTATACAAATCTGTTAGTTTCCCTTTGTTGGAGAGGAAAAAAATCTATTTATACTGAACATAGAGGAAAGTAAAGGACTGTCTTACATTTTCGAAAAGTGACTAGTAACTTTTGAATACTTCAGGTTTTTGTTGCCCAACTTAATAGGGATGTCAACATGTAGACGACTATATGATTAACCAATAACCCCAGGCTTATCAGTTAATATTGTCAACTTCACACACTCCCCCTCCTTGCTGCCTCTGTATCTGAGACAGTAAGTGGGGGAGTGACAGCCAGTGCTCAAGAGGAGCTGGCTTAAAAGCCAGATCCTCACAAGCACCAAATCCGCCTGCCGCCTCCTCATCCCGTGCTACTGTCTTTGATAGAGAGGCAGCAGCACAGATGGTGAGGAGAGGAGGCAGGAACCTGTACTAAGGGGGAAGCCGGCTTAAAAGCCTGGCTCCCAGCACCAGCTCCATGGTGCTGCCTGCCTAGAGGGGGGGCAGAGGAGGCTGCTACAAAGCAGCCTCTGTCCACGGTGGCTTGGGCTCGCTGCGGACAAAGGCTGCTCCATGGCAGGACCCACTGCGGACAGACTACTGCCTCTGGTTCCATGTGGAGCTCGGACTCCCATGGACAGGGGCTGCTGCCATTCTGTGCTGCTGCTTCTGTATCAGAGGCAGCAGTGGAGGACAGCAGGTGGGGGCCAGTCTGCACGGGAAGCTGGTTTTTAAACTGGCTCCCTCACAGACCGGCTCCCGCCTGCCACCCCTCACTGTTTCCTCTGATAGAGAGGCAGCAGCTCTGGATGGCAGGGGGTTCCCTGGGCATGGGGCCAGGAGCACACTGTCTCTGCCAACCCCACCTTTGGGGACTATCAAATAGTCATGTAACTGCTAAAATTTCAAGCGGTTACACAACTGCTCAATTGCATGCTATCTAACATCCCTACAACTTGAGGCAAATTAAAAAGAACACATTTTCAGGTAGTGGTTTTGAAATGTCTTAAGCTGGGTGTCCAAATTTTGAGGTATTTATAATAGAGAGTTTTTTAAATCTTGGGCCAATTTGTTTAATACCTAGTAAAGTACAAATGTTTGCTTGAAGTTTTGTTTTGTTTTTCATGTGTGAGCTGTTGATGAACAATAAATTGTAAAATATCTCTGTCTTCTGTACACAGGACTTGATTATATAATTGAATACCGGTCAAAAGATAATCTCATTCTTCTCTATGAGTGTCAGCTATGTCACTGTCAAACAGGAATGTGTAACATGTTCATGCATGTTTATGGCTCTAAACATAGACTGGCATATCTGGTAAGGAGTTTTTGAGTAAGTGTTCTTTAGAATATTGGTTGGGTGGAAAATTTTCTACTTGCACCTACTTGCTGGTGGGGTTGGGGTCAGGGCTGCTAGTGCTGGCCAGTGCAGTTGGGACTGGATCTGAGGGTTCCATTGTGGTTAGGGCTGCTGGCATGGCCAGAGCTGGATCTGCAGCTGTAGTTGGGGCTGGTGCTGCTGCTGCCAGGGCCCCACCTGTCCCCCTCCTTGGTGCACAGTGGGGATGGATGCTGCGGGCACATGGCTGCCAGCGGGGCTTGGGTCCCACCTACCCCTGCTTGGTGCCACTGTGGCCCTGCCTGTGCCCTGACCTGTCTGGGATCCCACCACCCAGCCTGTCTGGTTAACTGATTGCCTAGTTAGCATTCTGGTAAGCCTGTTGCTTACTGGGTAAACAGTTAACCTTTTTTACATCCTTAGTACATGCAGTCAATCTGTGGAGTTAAAGCAATGTCCAGCCTTTGATTCCTTCAAAACATTTAACTTCTGTTGGGTGGAACTTCTTCATCGGTACAACGAGACCTTGTAGTAAGTGACATTGACACAAACATCAGCAAAAAATCAGCACATGCAGATTGTCGTATAACACCAGCATTTTGAGTGGAAGATGGGAAAGAATGCAGTTCTCAAGTCATTGCTGGCTAGAAGAGTAGTTTCTAGTAATCAATATAAAGCTCACAAGGGTCAAGGAAGAAATATTTTTCTCAGAGGATTTGAGTTTTAACTTCATAGCAATGAGAAAAATTCCTAGAAGAACATAATGGAGTTCCTGGTGCTGTAGGTCCTACAAGATTCTGTTGTGAAAGGAGACCAACTAGCACTCTCTCTTTTCAGTTGAATTAAGAGGTGTAAAGCATAATTCTGCATAACACATATTGTTTACTTCTTCCTTGCATGAGTTTAGTGGTGGCAATAATGGCCAAAATGAGAACTGATTCTACAAGAGAACACATGGTTCAGTTTCTCTGAGTCATGAAGAGATGAGTCGATTAAAGAACTTCTGGTAGGAATAAGCACTAGCCATTTCAGATGTTGCTTTTTGGATTGGTATCAGCTCTTTGCATATTTTTATAGAAAGTGTGAATGTTCTAGTGGTGTGTTTTTTCACACGTGAAATTATGTTCCTCTACCTGTCCATGGCCAGCTCTTTAAAAAGATTCAAGACTCTATCCCAGGCTTGGACAGAATAACCTCCATGGGCCAGATGAGGCCTGCCAAGATGCCAGATCTGGACCATGGACGCAGCAGGGAGCCTGTGACGGACTGGGCTGGGTCTGGGCACCGCTGAGGGCGTCTGCTGAGGATGAATGGCTCAAAACTAGGGCTGCTTACAGACTGGAGACCTTTCCCAAAATAGGCCACAAGCCAGTCACACACAGCACTTCAGCTGCCAATCCGGCCAGCAGGAAGACTCACAAGCAAAACCCTTCAGACACCCCAGCTTTCCCTGTGCCACAATCAGCCCCGGGCCTTACATACGTGAGAGACTGTAAAACCTGATCTCATCAACTCCGAGCAGATCCTCCTGGTCCCAAAGAACCAACCACAAGCCCCCGGTCAATTTACACTTTAGATCCTACCCACAAGAGCATGCTGAGCCAAGCTTTTAGAATCTAAAATCTAAAGGTTTTTTAATAGAATAAATAAAAGGTTGAGAGTAAGGGTACGTCTAGACTACATGCCTCTGTTGCCAGAGGCATGTAGATTAGGCTACCAGACATAGTAAAATGAAGCGGGGATTTAAATAATCGCCGCTTCATTTAAATTTACATGGCTGCCGCGCTGAGCCGACAAACAGCTGATCAGCTGTTTGTCGGCTCAGCGCGGCAGCCATGTAAATTTAAATGAAGCGGCGATTATTTAAATCCCCGCTTCATTTTACTATGTCTGGTAGCCTAATCTACATGCCTCTGGCGACAGAGGCATGTAGTCTAGACGTACCCTAAGACTGTTAAGGAGAATACATTACCTACATCAATCGCCAAGTGCTTGATGCAGGCTTTTAGCAGAGATATCACAACTGCTAGTTTAAAAGTCTCTGGTGTACATCCTGTATCAGGATGGGTCAGTGATCCTTCCCGGTTCTCTGTCCCTAGCAAGGCTGCATCTGGAAACAGGAGTAAGATTGAAGACCAGATGGAGACACCCTCATGGCACTTTTATATTCCTAGTGTCTCCCAAGCTGGAGCTGGTCACATGATCAAGTGACCTATCTGTGTTTCACATACCAGAGCTCTTGCACAAAAAGGAGTTATTTCTCATAGAAAGAGGATTACCTATTGTGCAAAGCCCCCTCTGGTCTTTCAATTTTTTAGCTCAAAAACGTGCTTGAGGTGTGGACGCTTCACGAGTTTTTGCGCAAAAACAGCTGTTTTTCCGCAAAAACTCTGTAGTGTAGATATAGCTTCAGTAAATCATTAATTTCTCATGATGGAAAAATATTGCTTTTATCATCTCACTATTTTAAAAATAGTTCTAAATCCAATTTTTTTACATCATGTTAAAAAGTTCCCTTTTTATATGTGTAAATGGTGATATTTTTTTTTAACCTGATTTATCATTTACCTAAACCTGAAAAGATTCACAGGGAAATGGCAGCTGTAACATCAGGACTTTTCCACTTTCAAATCTCAGAATTGCTACAGTTATTTTTTGAAAAGATGGCCTTTTTTAAGATTGGCAAAACTCTGTATTACTGAACTCATTTTCAAAAGCATATTTGCTGTATTTGCTCAAAGTTAAAAATAATCTGAGGCAGTGATTAAGAGAGGAATATTTAGCCTAAAAGCATTTTTTTAAAAATTTAGATTTAAATAATAGACAAGTTGTCAGTTATAAGTATAGTGAAAGCTTTGTTATCCGGCACATTTTAACTAGAATACTTTAAGAGGTGTTGTTCTAATCCACCATACTGCTGCATCTTCAGGTGCAGGCGCCTGACTTGAACCTGTCCAGCGGCCATTGCGGGGCTTCTGACAGCTGGCACTGCCAGGTCACTTCAGCATCAGCTGCCTCCTTCCCCCGCAGCCTGCCTCAATCTGCAGGGAGTCAGTTCTGCCATAGGAGATGGGGCACAGCAATAAGCTTTGTTATCCGGCATACTCAATTAACTGGCAACTCACATTCCCCAAGCTTTCACTGTAGTTGAAAAAAAGAGGGTTTTCATGACAATTGTTGAACATGTCAAATGTAACAGTGTAAAGTACTCATTGTGGTAGTATCTGAGCACCTCACAGTCTTTTATATATTTATTCTCACATGCTCTTGTACAGTGGGAAATACTATTATCACCACTTTACAGACAGGGAACCAGCACAGACATCAAGTGATTTTTCTCAAGGTCCAGACAAAGTATGTGAGAGAGTAGAGAATTGAACTTGTGTCTCCTGACTCCCAGGCTAGCACTCTTATCTATTGGTCTAGCTTTCCTTCACTGGTAGTTAATTGCTTCTGATTTTTGCTTATAACTTCATCCAAATAGAAAAAACGTAAACTATATTCTATGTAACAGCTTGTACTGCCTGAGAGGAGAAAAAAAGCAAAGTTGAAATTGTATTTTATCATTAAGAAAGTCAGAATTTATTGAACGGGTGGCTTTTTATTTTTAGAAACAACATTATCCTGAGATAGTAGAATCTGATGAAATTAGAGGTCGAGGTTCAGAACTGAACAGGAGGCTTAAAGAAGTTGCAGCAGTTATTGAAAAGAAAGAGGGAAGAAAACAAATAAAGGTAATTAAAAATTCAATGCCTATGTGTTTATAAAAATACTGATGTCATTATTTATGGGATGGTGGGCCAACTCTCTTCTTAACATTGTAGATCATTGCTTACATTACAAATGCTCTGTTCATTTTTCAAATGTTCTTTTGGAGCTAGTATTCTGTTATTTACTGTTTAGCTTGCATAATCTGTTTTTATATAAGTGTATGACACTTCAAAAGTCCACAGAAGTGTTATTAATCACAGTGTAGTGTACTATAACAAAAAATGTATATTGGTTAGTCCTTTTCTATCCAGTAAAATAGAGACTGAGATATTTCCATTTCAGCAAGTCAGAAGCATGCTGCTGTCATGAACAATATAAGTATTACAAGAAAAAGAATCTCATGGCACTGAAATTTCTGCGTCATATGCACTCTTTCGCAATTAGGTAGCATAACTTTTCATGTACTGCTGTTCATACAAAAATGTATTTTACATATGTCAAGAAAATCTGTTTATTCTTGTTGAGGTGCTTTGATTGCTTGCCCTAATTCTTCATAACTGTTCTAAAGAATTCAATGCCCATGAGCAAATCTTACTATATATTTTAGAAACTGTGCATCTGTCAGTCTGTCCATCAATGAGTCTGTTTGTTCAAGAACTCTTCCTAAATCAGGGGTGGCCAACCAGTTAGAGAGGAAAAGCCAGAATAGCGGTAGATAAAGTGCAAAGAGCCACATATTATAGATAGATAGATATAGATATAGTACACAAAATGTATTGATAAAAATAACATTACAGGACATTTCGGACAAAAAACAATAACAAAGTCTCTAGTCACTTAAAAAATGTATGGCCAGTCCAAAGATCTTCAGAGAACGTGATACGGAACAAACATCAAATAAAAAAACCCAACCCTTTAAAGATACAGTAATATTCTCACACTTAAAAAAAAAAAAAGCATCCCCACCATGTATTTTAAATTTAACACTACTGCCCCATTATGTCCTGTGAGTTTTTTAAAATTAAACTGAACTGAGAAGTAAATTAGCACAATTTGAAGTGCCTGTCCCAGACTGCAAATATGAGAGGTTCAAAAACAATAAGGGAGAGACTTGTATCAGAAGACTTTGAGTTTAAGGTACTTCAGACCCCTCTCTCCCAACCAACCAACCAACCAACGCCTTACCCTCCCAGCCCTCCTGCTGTAACCCAATCCCCACCCCTCCCCCAGGGCCAGACCCTCCCTCCCCCCGACTCTAACCCAATGCCTGGGTCCCAGAGCTGCCGCCACCACGTGCTTCTCCCTCCAGGCGCTGGGCGCACGTGCACACACATACACACCTACCTACCTACCTACCTACCTGGCTCTAACCTAATGCATGGGTCCCAGAGCAGCTGCTGCCACGCACTTCTCCCTCCAGGAGCTGGGGCGCATGCACTGAGCAGCCAGCCATGAGCACGCGCTGGGATGCCGTGTGCAGAGCGGCCGGCTGTGAGCAGGCACTGGGGCGCCTTGTGCAGAACAGCTGGTCTGAGTAGTCTAGGAGCTGCATTTTTTTTTAATCAAAGAGCTGGGGGTTGGTAAGAGACAGGACCACCATATTTGGTATGCTGCTTCCTCTTATCATATCTTAAAGTGAGGTCCGGTTTGGTTGTTTCAGGGCAATGGGATGTGCATGGAATGTAATTGTTTCCCAGCAAACGGAGGGATGTGATATCAGGGACAGTTAAATCCCAGAATGGCCACATGGGGGCAGCAAGTGCCCCCCCCCCCCAGCCAGAGCAGCCCTTAGCCTGAGCCTTCCTGAGAAAAAAACAGAAGGTTGGGTGCATGACCCCCACTGATCTGATCTGACCCCTGGGAGAAGGCAGCAGCCACCCCCCCCTCCCACCAAACCTCCTTACCCCTTGCTCTGACTCCTGCACCCAGTCCCCTGAGCTCCTCCTCACCCCCCTCACCCTGACTCCTTCACCCCCCCATACCTCCTGCCCCTGACCTATGCCCCTACTCACCCCTCAATCCTGATTCCTGCAACACCACCGCCACCACATCCCCTGCCCTGAAGGACCCGACCAACACTGGATAAGTCTTCTTGTCTAGTCTATGTGTTTTAGAGAGTTTGTTGGTGTGATCAGGAACTTTTAAATGGTAAGAGCTAGGACCACTAAAATCAGTATACAGTTCCTCTTGTAACTTGAAGCACCGTAAGAGTTTGGTTGTGCCAGGAAAATGGGATATGCCTGGAATGGGATTGCTTCTCATAAAACCAAAGAGAAAAGAGATAGAATCACCAAATCAAGTACAGTGCTCAAAATTGACAGGACTGAGCAAATGTTGAAAGAGTCTGAACCAAGATGAGCCAGAAAAATAGGATGAATCTGGAAAAAGTGGGGGTTGCGTTTCAGGTACTGGTGGGAAAGTCAGTTTTTTGTTGGTGCTGGGTCATCAACGTCAACATTAGATATCTAGCAACTCAAGATAACTAGCAACACAAGTAGCGACAGTTTGTTAAAACACAAAGATAAACACATGAGTGAGCGGAGAAGCGCTGTGACTATGTGTATTCATTCACTCATGAGTATTACCACTGTTTTCCCCAACTTATACTGCCGTGCAAAGGAGTCTGCTACTTGATTATTTTCGTGTTATTTTGGGGAGGGTCGTGTTATTTGAAAAACATTCCCTAAAAAAAAAATCATGCTATTGTGAAAACATGTTAAGCGGGCACGTGTTAAACGAGTAATTACTGTATACAAATAAAATGTTACCTCTTTGCCTAGCCCCAACCAGCCCCTTGCTCTCCAATGCTAAATATCCTTTGATCCTCATCCCTATGCCCCGTGCCCTTTGACCTCTGACTCTTTCAGCCCATGCCAACACCCTCTTGCCCTGTGACCCTATCATGCCCTCATCCAGCACTCTTTTGCCTTCACCCCACCACTTCCCAGAGCAAGACTACCCCCTTAGGGAGTGTGGCTGTTACTGTGCTCCGTCAGGAGGAGCAGCTGTTGGCTGCACATGTGCTTCCTACTTTGCACCTCCTACCTCCCCAAGCGCATCTTGTGCCCCTATGGGTGGGGAGAGGGGAGTGTGGAGCCCCAGCCAGTCACCATTACCCAGGGGAGACGGGAGTTTCCTCCTACTCCACTTCCACCGCCTCAGCCCCAGCACTACCACTGGCAAAATCAGTCATCTTGCAGGGGGAGTGGCTGTTGGCAGTGTGAGGGAGGCACCTCCTGCCCCGCTGTCACTGCTGGAGCTGAGCCACCACAAATAACCAGTTTGAGCTCCAGCAGTCGCCACTGCTCAAGAGCCATCATTGGTGGTTGGAAACCACTGCTTTGGACTCTGGTCAGGGCTGTTGCATCTTAGACTTCTTCCCAAAGTTATGCATGGCTCAAATAATCAGATGTAGCCCCAGACGTTAAAACTGAAGTGAAAGTCCTTCCCCTTGCGGAAGAAAATCTGCTTAGTACCAGATGAAGAGCAAAGAAATAAGGTGTATAGCAAGATCTTTGGGCATTTATCAGTCACCCAGCAGAAAACCTGGAGTATTTAGGTACCAAAGACAGCTTCCTTCTTCTTTGTTTTCTTTTCCAAAACAAAAAAGAAATTATCACCTGCTAAAATATCCTCAAAAATCTTATCAACAAAGAGGGTTAATTTCAAAACAAGCTTTAAAGGCAAACCAAGTGTCTTTGGCAACTACAAGGTGAAACCTTAGGCCACATGTCTGAGACACTGTCACCATTTTCTAGCAGTCTTGACTGAAGCTTACTCCCTTTCTCTCTGAAGACTGTGGCTGTTGAGCTTCTATAACCACAGATCTTAGAAATTATTTCCAGGCTGAAACTTCAGTGAGTAATGTTTTGTAGAGTCTAAATCAGATGCTCAGATTCAGCACAGCAGTTCCTCAATTAATTTTCAGTTAATTCTGCTAGCCCAACCTGCTTTTATACTTGCTAGTCTATATTGTGAATGGAAATATTCAGAAGCAACTAGAAGGAGAAATGGAGGTTACTTATAATTGGAATTCATTGAGACAGACTCAGAATATTTACACACTCCTCTCACTTTTCATTTTTCCTCAGAATCATAAGTATAACATAGATAGGAGCAAGTTGTGTGTAGTAGCTGAGAACCCTGGAACCTTCATGAATGGTTAGGTGATAGGAGATGAAGTGTGTGAATTCTTTAAAAGATACTTTTAGAGAGAAAAAGTTAGTGAGAGAATATCTATTATTGAACGAACTTCTGTTCTTGGGATAGATGAGCTTTTGACCTTACACAGAGTTCTTCTGAAGAAGAGCTTTGTGCAAGCTCAAGAGCTCCTATCTCTGAACATGAGTTGGCTTAACAAAAGATACTACTTCACCCATCATGGCTATGTCCACACTGCCGGTTTTGCTGGCAGTGAGTATGCAAAATGAGGAGCAGATTAGCATATTACCATGTCTCATTTTCATAAGTTATGCACGCTGTTTTTGCACAAAGGGTTTTTGCAGAAAAAAAGTAGCATGGACTTTTCTTTTTGCACCAAACCCCCTTTTCCTGCCACATCCTTATGGCAAAACCCAAAAAAGGAGGTTTACCGATCTGGTAGGAAAAGGGGGTTTTGTGCAAAAAGAAAAGTCCATGCTACTTTTTTTCCGGAAAAACCCTTTGTGCAAAAACAGCGTGCATAAATTATGCAAATGATGTGCAGGAATATGCTAATCTGAATCTCATTTGCATACTCACTGCCAGCAAAACCAGCAGTGTAGACTAATGTCTCTAATATCCTGGGTCCAAGATCACTACAACACAGCATACTGTTAATTACAGGCAGTCCCCGGGTTACGTGCAAGATAGGGACTGTAGGTTTGTTCTTAAGTTGAATTTGTATGTAAGTCGGAACTGGTACATATTGTACCCCAGGTGTCCCCGATTCAGCCGCTGCTGAAACTGACCAGCAGTGGCTGAATCGGACACTCCTGGGGCAGAGCAGCTGGAGTGCTGCTGGGTTGGTCTGGTAGCGCCGACCCTTGGCGCGGCAGGACCAACCCGGCAGCACCCCAACTGCTCTTGGGGACACCTGGGGCAGAGCAGCTGGGGTGCTGGGTTGGTCCCGCAGCGCCGCACCTCGGCGCTGCGGGGCCCACCCCGCAGCAACCCCGTTTTCGACGCAAGCT